GAAAAAAAAACTGGACTTTTGAAATTCAGAAATCAGATATTTGGAGATTAGGATTTTTAGAAAATCAGAACTTTCAGATCTTTCAATTTCTTATGTTTAGAAGTTTTTGGAATTTTCAAATTTCAAACTTTCTGAATTTCTGAAACTCTGCAATTCTGTGAAGTCTGGGATTTCCGATTTTAGTAACTGCAAATTTTCAAAAAATACCAAAACATTGATTACCGTAAAACCTGTATTAGAAGGGCCCTCTAATAGAAGGGTCCTCCGAGAGGGGCTCGGAAAAATAGAAGGCCCCCCTGTAATAAAAGGACCCCCGTAATAGAAGGGCCCTCCCTGTCGGGGGTACCAAGCGAGAGGAAACGCGTCTTTTTATCACAGTAAGAAAGTCGCGCCGCTCGCGTGGCCTAGGGGTCTCACTGAAAATCCTCGTCCCTCGGCGGCACCTTTTTTTGAATTTTTTTTTCCTTTTCAACGGCGTTTTTTGGGGATTTCGGATTTTTTTCGAATTTTTTCGCAATAATATTCTGAAAATAGATAAATTTTAACACATTTTGATGCAATAAAAATTTTTGTTCGGAGTCCCCCTTTAAAAATATCTGGATGATATAACATAATAAATTTTTCCTTCAAAATTGCGATATAGAAACCTTGAAAAAAATTCAACAAAGTCTAGAAATTGGCATTAATTCGCATAATTTTGTTTTCGAAATAATTTTGTTTCTCGGATTTTTTTCTACTTTTACTTCGTAATAATCGGAAAACTTACCAATCAACCTGTATTTCACCTGAAAAATATATTATTCCGCTTATTCCGAAGTAAAACAGAAAAGTGCTAATTTCAAGAAAAACCGGATTTTGTAAAAAATTTTACCTATTTCTTTACTAAAAATAAGTTTTATTTTCGTTAGTCATAACTTTTACATGTGAAAACAGTGAGAAGTTCTTTGAAAGCAGGAAATATGATCAATATGATCGAAAAATTGATCAAGGTCGGCGGTGAAAAATTTTGCTAAAAAACGCGCACTAGCGTAATAGCGGAGTGTCGTTGGTGGGTGGTCGTTTTCATGCGAAAAGAAAAGCGTGCATGCTATATGGATGCTATATGGGTGCGCCCACCGGCGACCAGTCGTGCCCAGCGACGACGCATATAGCGCGCACGCGCTACCCACAGAATTATTATGGGTGCACATAGCATCCTATATGCGCGCCTAGACATATACCATGCGCAGCCGTTACCCTGTGTAGAAGCATTTGGAAGCATCTAGAAGCATCTAAACGCATCTATACGCCTCCAAAAACGTCTAGAACCATCTAGAAGCATCAGGAAGCACCTTGAAGCTTCTAGAAGCATCAGCATCTAAAAGCACCTAAAAGCATCTGGAAGTATCTGGAAGCAACTGGAAGCATCTAGAGGCATCAGCACCTAGAAGCATCTAGAAGCATCTATACGCCTCCAAAAATGTCTAGAAGCATCTAGAACCATCTATAAGCCTCCACAAGCGTCTAGAAGCATCTAGAAGCATCTGGAAGCATCTAGAATCATCTAGAAGCATCTGGAAGCATCTAGAAGCATCTAGAAGCATCTGGAAGCATCTAGAAGCATCTAGAAGCATCTGGAAGCATCTAGAAGCATCTAGAAGCATCAGGAAGAATCTGGAAGCATCTATAAGCATATATAAGCTTCCAGAAGCCTCCGGAAGCATTTGGAAGCCTCCAAAAATCTCAAGTAGCATCTAGAGTCATCTAGAAGCATCTGGAAGCATCCAACGCTTCCTAGAGCACTCAGAAGCATTGTCAAGATTTCAGACGACTTCATTCCTTCCCTAAACTTCTGAAATGATTCTAGACTATTCGAGAAGGTTCCGAAGCATCCACAATCCCTAGAAGCTTTTCCTAAAAATTGCAGAAATCATAAAAATCTGAAAAACGCAATACTCTCTGAAACTTTCAGATTTTGCTAATTTTCGAAAATTCAAGAGTTCTGAAATTTGAAAAAAAATCTGATTTTTTTTCAAAATTTAGAACTTTCTTTTCAAAATTAAGAAATTCTAAAACCTCTGAAAATTCAGAAGTTCAAAAATTCAAAGTTCTAGAAATTTTATAAAAATTTCAGAAAATCAGAAATCTTGAAATTCCTGAAAATAGAAAGTTCTTGAAAAAAAATTTGAAAAATTCCGAAATTTGACAATCGAAAAAACCAAAAAGTTCGTAAAATCTGAAATTCGAAATTCGTGAAACTTCTGAAAATCAAAAATTGAAAATTTTCTGAAAAAAAGACAATTTCAGGTATTCTAAAATTTCGAAAATTCTGAAATTTTTTTCCTAAATTTTTGAAAATCAAAAAAAGTTCAGAAACTTCAAAAATTCAAAAAATGGTTTTTTTTTAATTTTCTAAATATTAGAATTTCAGAAATTTTTGCTACTTTCAGCCTTTTTGACCCGCAAAAAGCGATGGCCGAAGTTTTTTCCGATTTTCTAGTCCCTCAAAGTCCAAATAAAGGCAATAATAAAAAGGAAAACAAAAATATAATTTCAAATTCAGATAAATTGAAAATCAGAACCAAATCAAAAATTCCATTGTATTCTATGGCACTTTATATACTCACTCTCAATGACGCATATTGTGGCGTTTGGGACAATTGCTCAGCCAATTGTCCCAGCGACGGATAAGTGCTCCTGCTATTGCTCATTGTATAAAGTCAAGGTGAAATGGAGCAATAGGAGAGAGAGAGCCGAAAAAGGAGCTCAAGTGTCTAGCACTCTCCCCTTTCTCTATGCTCTCTCGCAAGGCGAAAAGAGCCGAAAGGCGCAGAAAATGAGGGAAAATGAGCATAAAAAGGGGGGGGGGTCTCCATGGAAACCGAAAATTCTTGTTTCAACACGAATTTTGGTTCATTCACATACCGAAAATCTATCTATAGAGAGGATGGAAAATATGAATTACAATGTAAAAAATCGTGATACAATAAATCACTCGAGTTTTCTTGCTTAATATATAATTGGTTGGGGGTGGGGGTGGGGGAGCTAATAAATGAGAAAATTATAGCAAAATTTAGTGAGATTTTTAGGGGGTAAAACACTAGGTGAGAGATATAATAGGGGGGCTCTGTTTCTGTTTAAAACAAGATTTTTTTGGGGGAAGGGGAGTTTTTAATGCATGAAAATATATATAAATATATAGGAATCTTCTAGAATATATAATAGAAAATCGAGGAATAGAAAACTTACAGGGGATTTTTTAGGAGGGGTTACATATATTTCAAAAATATAAATAACAAAAAAAAGGTAGGGAGATATATAATACTTATATATAAATATATTCTAGTTTGTGAATGATTTCGTGTACTTAAATGAGTGTAAATGAGAGTTTTTTAGAAAGAAAATGGTGGGTGTGACTCGTTTTTAGGGGGGTTTTAAGAGGAGAAAGAAAACTAGGTTCGGGTTGGACTACAAGAGGAGATGAATTGGAATTATTGATTTTGGTTAGCCGCTGATTGGGACGAGTGTGTGATCGTTGTGATCGCAGGACGAGGACGATGGGGAGACCGATGAAAGGGATCCGGGGCTCAGGTTGTCCGACCAGATGGTGTTCAGGAATCCGAAGCCGGATGATGTGCTGCTTCCTTTGAGGGACATCAATCTGGAAGAATCATTTGAGCATGGTTTTTGGGAGCAAACCGGGTAACTTTAGGAGAAATTCGGATACCATAAAACCTGTAATAGAAGGACCCCCACACTGTCAAGTTTGAGCTCAATTATCTCAGTTCCTATAAGAGATATCAAAAATGTGTCAAATGATAAAATGTATAGGATATTATGATAAACAAGTTTTCAGTTGACAAATTTTTATATCTTCATCAGGAACCGAGATAAATTGGCTCAAAGCTGAAAGCTAGGAGTTAGGTCATTCTATTGGCGTGTGAAGAAACTTTAAAGGTGCATATCTCAAAAACTAGAGTAGCTAGAAATTTAGGGGACCCTTCCATTAAAGGTTTTATGGTAGATAGATTTCAGATAGGAATAAGCGATTTTTCGGCTTCAATTTTGACAGAAAATGGTTTTTCTTCACAGAAGTTATAGCAGAAACCATGAAAATCTAAAGTTACAGACCCATTTTCCGATGATTTTTAGCTAAAAATCTAGTTCGAAAATGCCAGTTTTTGAGAGAAAATCGGACGTTTTGAACGATTTTTTGGCAAAAATTGAATTACAGACCATCGTCAGAAAATGAGAATTTTTCCTCTTTTTAACGCTATTTTCAATAGATTTTCAGTTAAGAATCTAGCCGAAGAGAGCTCAAAGCTGAGCAATAATTGCTCACCCATTAGTCGGCGACTCCTCACGCTGCTTCTCCTTGTCGAATCCTCCCATCGAAGACCAGGCCGACGACAAATCGTATTTGCGAGAGAGAATCTCTGGAAGAAATAGATTTTTAAAAGAGAACTTAGAATCTTCAAGGGGCTCACCATTCTCCATGATATCATTGATCGAGTTGTTGTTCCAGTAGTTGTACGTCCCGATTTCCTGCTTCATTGGCTGTCCACCGAGCGACGCGCGAGCCGATGATGGCTGCTGCTGATGCTGTTGGGGCTGTGGAGCCTTAGGAAGACCCATCCCGTGAACGGAATCCGGTGTCAACGAGTTGCGCATCGATGGGAAGCTACGAAGCTGAAAAAATGCCAAATTCAGAATTTTTTTCAACTTTTCAACGCCTTCTTACCAACGCATCCAATCCCAACGAGCTCTCCATCCCAAACGGCAACTCCTGGCTCATCTGACTGAACAGATTGTTGCCACCTCCAAACGCGTTTGAGTACTGAGCGGCTGCTGCCAAAGCCTTACGGTACATCATTTGCTGTGCCTTGTGCTGAGCGGCCTGAAGCTGTTGTTGAGCGTGTTGCTGCTTTTGGACCATCGCCGAGACGCTGCCGCATGTGGAAAAGTCTTTTTCGGTTTCCGGCAAGTTGCCCGTTCGTTGGAAGATGTGCGTTTCGATTTCCTTGCGAGCCGCGTCGACGTTGTGCGGGAGACCTGTGACCTGGAAGATAGACATCTGATCAAACGACACGCGACCCCTGTCACCTAGGAGAGGAACTTTCTAATGCGCTGTGTGTATGTGTGTGAAAATTGTCCTTTAAGGATATAGATAAGTGTACGAGCTAGATCTCTCTGAAGCATCTAATCAGCCTATATTTTTGCCGACGTTTAAAGCTTCTGAGGATCCCAAAAACTAGCCACAAAGATCTACCGTATCCCCCTTGGGCATACTGTAATTCTACCGAGATTCAACGCTTCAAAAAATCCAAAAAAGGCTGAAGAAACGGGGTCTCAATAGGTCTGGAAGTTGTGCTACCGTATTCTCTTCAATAGAAGTGCCCCGGTAGTTGTCAACTTTGACCTAATTTATCTCGGTCGCTGTGAAAGGTGTCTAAAAGTTGCCAACTGACAAAACGTTGCTGATAATATGATAAACATTCCGTCAGTGGACAACTTTTCGATATCTTCCACAGGAAATGAGAAAAATTGGAACTAAGTTGAATGCTATGAAGAGCTTAAACAGAAACTGAGATAATTGAGGTCGAAAATGGTTTAACTCAACCGCCAACTTTGAACCAATTTATCTCATTTCCTGTAGAAGATATCAAAAAGTAGTCAACTAACAAAATGCTTGCTATAGTATCAGCAACATTTTATCAGTTGACGACTTTTTTATACCTCTCCCAAGAACCACGATAAGTTGCCTTAAAAGATAACAGCTACGAGGCACGTGTAAATACGGTAGCTCAACTTCGAGATCTGTTGAAGCCAGCTCCTGTGATCCCTAAAAGCTACAAGTCTTGGAAAATGGTATTTTCAGGCTGATTAGATGCTCCAGAGCTCTAGAAGGCTATAGCTCTCCTCAATCCAGGTTCCAGACTTCCTGACCCCGACAAGCTTCTCAGCCCATACCAACCCGATCCCTCTGATCTCCAGCCCCTGGAATACTTTATCTTCTGATCCAAAACCAACCCAAATTGCCACCAGATCCATCTCGGGGCATTTCGTGTCAAACGGCGGCCGTAGATGGAGACAACTAAATTGAGAGGAATGACGGCGAGGTTGCAAGATGTCATGTACTCGACAGTCAACACACAGTTCTGGAGAGGTCGTCTCCTTTCTCCGAATGATAATTACCATTGTGAGGAGCGCGAGGCGGCGACCGATGGATACGGTAATTTCTTTTCTCTGGTAACCTCTCCATCCATATACAAACAAACCCGTCAATTACATAATATGATCTGATTACCAACGGGTTGGCGCATAGAGGGGAGATGTCAAATAGGAGTCATTTTGTTTTGTGTATTTGACATACAAAACCCCCCAATACATCTGCCGCCAGAGGGAGCCGGCAACAAAAAGAGCATATGTGCAACAATTTTAGCGCCTTAGACCCCCTCGTCCGGGGCGCCCTCCCATTTAATTAATTGAGTACTCCCCCCCCCCCCCCCCCTTGTCATCGAGTCGAAACAAAGAAGTGTGTGGTGCAACATCATCGCGTGACAGAGAGCAAAACCCGGGTGGTGGTGGCCCCCTATCTATCGGTAATTCGAAGTCAAGTCTTCTAATCTACTGAAGAAGGCGTCAAGAAGAAGACATCTTCTGGTCGTCTCAAACTGAATTATCTTCATCAACGACACACATGATATTGTGTTTGGGTGACTCCAGAAGACATGCAACATTAATCGGTCCCGCGGGGGTGGGCGTCACACCCAAATTAAAAGATCCTAATCTCGAGAAGGATCCTAAAAGCTGTGTAGCTCTGTGTAGCTCAAAGAAACATCTAGAAAATCGAAAATTCTGAGAGAAAAAGAGGTCACAAGTACTTCCGATTCCGACAGATTCGAATTTTAAATTCCCGTCAATTGTTTCGGAGCCCACCCAAGATAAAATCTTATGGTTCCCAATAGAAAACAAATAGTTGTTTTTTGTTTGCCAACAACTATTGTAGTAGCATTAGCAGTACGACCTCGAAAATCGCCGCTTGAAACGAAGAGAGACAATAAAGAAAAAACGCAGCCGGGAAGTGGAAGAAATTGAGGAAGAGAGGAAAAACAAATGTGTGGAATAAATATATATATATATATTGGGTTCATCAGACACATATGTTGTTTGTATAACAGAGAACAAAAAACAACTAGAGGAGGCTCGAATTTTGTAGACAACAACATAGCCACGTGGCAAGTTTCTAGTAGGTTGCCGTGCAGCAAACCGTCTGTTCAACCTCAGCCACTTCCAGAGACGCCGAACCCAACGAAGTACCCTAACCAAAAAGCCACGACCCTGCTTTCGGAAGCCATTAGGGTCCAATTTTAGCCACAATGGCCTGAAATGCTCTAGAATGTTCCAAAATCGCCCCATTTTCGTCTTCTTTCAGTCAGACGATTTTAGACTGAATTTTCACAATTTCAGGCCAAATTTCGACCATTTTAAGCTGAATTCGGGCTCATTTAGCCTATTTTCAAACTTGTTTTAGGCTTTCCAATCCTTTTATGCTAATTAAGAGACCCTTTTAGCCTAGTCCTTTTAGGCAAGTTTTAGGCCAGTTAAGACTATTTTAGACCAAATTTGAACTATTTGAAGCTAAATTTGGACCCATTTTTGCCCGTTTTCGGACAATTTTAGGCCAAATTTGAGCCATTTTAAGCTGAATTCAGACTACTTTTAGAGCAAGATTAAGCAATTTTTGTCTATTCTCGGACAATTTAAGACCGAATTCAAGCCATTCATGTCCTTATAGGCTGATTTTAGGCCTTCTAGGCTATATTTTAGGCTAACCATTTCAGGCCTATTTTGAGCTAAATTTAGACAACTTTCAGATGTAATTTTGGCCACGTGGCATCATTTCAAGCCGATTTCTCTCTAAACAGGTACACCCCACAGTTCGAAAATCTAACACATTTCTCTTGGCGCAGGTGTCGAAGCCAGGTGGTCCAGAATAGCAGATGGGGCCGAGAAACATACAGATGTTGCAAAAAAAAACTCGAAAATCCATTGTTTAGAGCTACAGTAAGCCAGACGACTTTCCAGGAAATTAGGCTACAAAATGGCTCTACAGTAACCCCATAACCCCTATAAAGGTGAGAAAATAGTGCTTAAAATCGGCTACAGTAACCCGAAAATCTCCTAAAAACCGAGCAAACAACAATTACCTCAAAAACAGGTTCTCGCTCTCGGCTCGGCGTGATGATGTAGGTGTGAGTGTCCTGTTGGATGCGCTTGATCGTCGCGCCTTTCGGTCCCACAACCAGACCGACAACACGCAGAGGAACGCGAACGTAGACGGTGACTTGTCCGGGTGTGTGGGCTCCTGGAACGACTGAACAAGGCGCTCGAAACGCTCTGACACTCCGGACCCACCTTGACTGTGTCTTCGCGACGCGCGAATCTGTGTGAAGTGATCGGCGGCACACTCGATCTCTCGTTTCGCTTCACGAACATCATCGAGGCGTCCGGTGACCACGAAGATCGGATCCTCACCACGGATTGGTGTCTTGATGTAGGTGTTGGTCTTGGCGCGAAGAGCCTTGATTTTGCATCCTGAAAATTGATGGAGTGAGTGGTTTAAAAAGGTCTGAAGAGGACTTGAAGCCGTTGGAATCATCTAGAAGCCTCAGGAGCCGTCGAGGAGCTTCTAGAACCAACTTATGACTTTTATGACGCTTCTAGACGTTTTTTGGCAGCGTCGGGGACTTTACAACCCTCTAGAAGCTTCCAGAATCCTCACAAAGTCGTCTAGAATGCTCTAGACGCTTCCAGGGGAGTCTAGAAGCCTTCCGAAGCCTCCAGACGCTTCTAGAACGAACGGTTATAGACGATTACAGAAGGTTCCGAAGCTTCCAGAACTCCTCAAAGCCTATTGAAGTCTCCAGAAGTCTCCAGAAGCATCTAGAAGAATCAAGAAGCCTATTGAAGTCTCGAGAACCATCTGGAATCCTCACAGACGACATCATTCCCTTTCGAAGCTTCTATGAACGAATCTAAAACGACTCTAGACAATTCCAGAGGGTTCAGAAGCTTCCAGAACTCCTCAAAGCCAATTGAAACCTCCAGAAGCCTCCAGAAGCATCTAGAAGCATCTAGAAGCATCTAGAAGAATCTAGACGCATGTAGAAGCCTCCAGAAGCATCTAGAAACCTCCAGAATCATCTCAAAGTCTCCAGAAGCTTTCCGAAGGGACCAGAAGCATTGACAGATGTTCAGATGATTTAACCAATTTTCGTGACATCCTAGACGCCTCCGGACGCTTCTAGAACGATTCTAGACGATTCCAAAGGGTCTAGAAGACTTCAGAATCTCTATTAGCCTAACGACGACTCTAGAAGCGCCTAGAAGCGCATAGAAGCCTCCAGAAGCTTCCAGAACCTTCTAGAAGCACGTGAAAGCCTCCAGACGATTCCAGACAACTCTAACCGCTCCTAAACAAGTTTTATACCTTGACGTCCAACTATCTCGGCAACGTGCTCCGAAGTGGGCACATCGACCGACTCGGTCACATTCTGCACTCCGATCGACGCTCGATAATCCAAGAACTGCGCGATGTCGTCCGGATCGCTGACTGGCGAGCACGACGCCGCGTTGTCCTCCTCGTAGTACCAGGCGCCTGGCATCTTGTGTGTATTCTCGTCTCTCATTCTGAAAAAAAACTCAGAAAATTCGAATTTTTTAGTATAAAATTCTCATTTATTCACTTAAAATTCAAAAAAAATCGGGTAAGAAGGAATCGGTAGACCGTAGAAGAAAAGGAGAGACAACACACGGGCGGTTCGTCGGAAGAAAATGGCAAAAGTAGTGGTAGAGAGCGGGACAAAGAGGAAAATGGGCGGTACTAAAAAGGAGGAGGAGAGGGTGAAAGTGTTACCCAGCAGACACCGAAAAATATGGGAAAAATGGGCGAAAGTCCCAAAAATTCCCGCCCGGAAATCTGAAAATTCGCGCCAAAACGAGATTTGAAAAAGGTTTTGGCGCCCGTGCGGTGTTTGCGTACAATGCGCACTTTGTCGCTGTCGACAGTAATCTCTTTAAAAATATTTTTTGGCAAATTTCAGCAAAAAAATTCGAACAACAAGGGAAATTTCCAGAAATTTCGCAAAAAATAAGAAACTAATTTAGAAAAAAGGTCTCGCTTTACGCCGGGGGAGTAATAAAAGTCACTGGGAGGAACACAAAAAAAATTTCGAAGAAGACAAAACAAAAAATTTGTGCGGTATAAATTCGAGGTCGTCATATCCGCGACCCACTTAAAAAAAGGAAAATTTTTCTCTCCTTCGAGATATATTTGAATTGAATTGAAGGAAAAAGGAGGAGAGGAGAATGGCAACAACACGTTTCGCAGCGGCGGGCGATACTAGTCATCATCCTTGAACATTTAACGAGGTCATTTAGAAGAAGCTTTTTTCAGTTTTAGAGGATGAATTCTCTGAAATCGCCGAAAATTAGCTTTAAAAATCGGATTCGCAGACCTAAAAAACCTAATTTGAAGCTCGCGCGCAATAGAAAATGTGCATTATTGCGTCGCGGTGTGTGTGTACAGTGCACTAGACTTTACGACAGGAAAACTTCAATGAATTTCGGGGAATTTCAGAGTAAAAAAACAACAATTTTAAGCTCAAAAAATTGAAGAAAAATGTTTAAAAATTAAACTTACTGATTCCAAAGCTCCATTTCCCATCGATTATTGTTGTAGGCGTTTGAGTATCCTTCTGGAAAAAATTAATTTTAAAAAAACTGAAAAAAAAGATTTTCTAACCGTTTCTCATGGCATATTGCATAACTGGCATGTTACCTGCAACAAAGGAGGTGATTAAAAATTAATTAGTAGTCAAAAAAGATTCATAAGGTGATTAAGAAGTAATTAATAGAAAAATTAATTTTTAAAAGTTAAAAACTTCCCAAAATCAACAAATTCTTCTCCAAAAGAAGCAACAGAATGGTGACCCAAAGGGGGGGGGGCGGAGTCTAGAAAAGAGGTTTAGAGAAACAAAAAGTGGGCGGAGCCAATGCTGTTGTTGCTGTCCCCCCATCACTTTTGGCGCAACATTTTCGGTGTGGTGTCAAAGAAGAGAAAAATCAGAGGAAATGAGAGGAAAAATATGCAAATTAGGTGGGGAATACGGTAGAAATTGTGACAAAACAAGGGAATTTAAAATGAGATGAAGATTGGAAGGGGGGAGAAAAAAGATGGATTTCCTACTTCTTTTGTGTTTCCAAAATCCATTTGGCATATTTTCATGGGGATCGTCAAAGAAAGGGGAAACGAAAATCTGAAAAAATGGGAAAAATGAGAAAATTATTTTTGTTTTTTCCTGAAATTTGATCCGTTTTTATTTTTTTTTCTGGGACCACCAAATCGGTTGGGGAACGGCTTTGTTGTATAATAAATAAACATAAACGGAATTCTGGAAATTCCGGAATTTTTGAAAAATAGAATATTCTCCGCAATTCGAGACAATTCCAAATTTTGAAATATGAAAAGAAACGTCCCAAAAAATTGGAAATTTCAAAATGACTGAAATTTGCGAAATTCCAGAAAAACATCGAAAATTTAGGAATTCCAAAATTTTCGGAAAATTTTAAAGTTTCAAAAAATGAACCAAAACTCTGAAACTTCAAAATTTTGGAAAACTTTTTTCGGAAAATTTCTAAACAATTATAAAATTCAGAAATTCAAAACGTTAAAAATTCAGAAATTCGGAAATTCGAGAAATTCATGAATTCAAAAATCCAGAAATCCAGAAGTCCCAAAATTCAGAAATTCAAAAATTCAAAAATTCAGAATTCCAGAAACTCAGAAATTCAGAAATTCAGAATTCCAGAAATTCGGAAATTCAGAATTCCAGTAATACAGAAATTTGAAAACTTGGAAATTCATGAAAATCAAAAATCCAGAAGTCCAGAAGTCCCAAAATTCAGAAATTCAAAAATTCAAAAATTCAGAAATTCAGAATTCCAGAAATTCGAAAATTCAGAAGTCCAGAATTCCCAAAATTCAGAAATTCAAAAATTCAAAAATTCAGAATTCGAGAAACTCAGAAAGTCAGAATTTCAGAAATTCAGAAATCCAGAAATATAGAATTCCAGAAATTTAGATATTCCGAAGTTCAAAAATCCAGAAGTCCGAAAATTCCAAAATTCAAAAAACCCCTCAATCTCATTATAAGCTACTGTAGATCCATAAGACATCCAGATGTACAAGCTGCCTCTTCTTTTTGTCATTGACCAGGCGGTCCCCTCAAAAGAGGGGATGGGGTGACAGGTGGTTTCGCAACATTAGGGGGGTATATCCATTATCGAGTTATTATGAAACAGATTCTTCCTCTTTGCAGCTGGTCCTCTTTTCTCTCTCTCTCTCTCTCTCTCTCTCTCTCTCTCTCAAAAAAAGATCCTTATCTTGCGGATTTTTATAGAAGCACCAGATGTGTTCGGATTTTAGGATCAAAAATTGGAAATTCTGAAGAAAAAAAAAGGGATCGTCGGGGACATTTTTCAAGCAAAAATCGCAAAATTAGCTCGACAACTTTTTTGAATTTGACTCATAATTGTCACCTCAGTTTGCTGAGCAATAAACTTTGCCTTGCTCTTTTTTGGAGGGTAGGTTACCCCCATTGGGAATATAATGATAGTCGTTTCAGGTTGTTCAGTGTCTATGTTATTGGATAGATAACAACGGGAAACCATAAAAATTGGATTTTTGGATTTTGGAAGTTTCAAACTCTTCTAGAATTTTCTCAAACTTTCTAGGATTTTGTTCAAAAAATACCTTTCTTTTTTGATATGAATTCTTCTAATTTTTTTAATTCCTGAAAAGTGAATACAAGGAATATTCTATAGTAAGCCGAGAAGATAAGCTAGATGCTGATTGGCTAGCTTTAAAAGGCCCATATCTCAAAAACTGACGCAACTACAAAAACATAATCAACTATCAAAACGTTGAGCATGAAAAATCCTACATTTAAATATAAAAATCATATTTCTAGCTAATCTAGTTTTTGAGTTATAAACCTTTAAAGTTTCCCCACACGAATGACCCCCCCCCCCCTCCTTTTCTAGCTTTCAACTTTGAGCCAATTTATCTCGGTTCCTGGAAAAGATATCAAACAGTTGTCAACTGATAAAATATTTTTGATAATGTCATAAACATTTTATCAGTTGATCACTTTTTGATATCTTTCCCAGAAAATCAGCTAATTGAGTCTAAAGTGTAAGTAGGCGCAGACAGCGACACCCGCCACGTTCCCGCTAGGAGATCAAATTTTGAGCTAATTTATCTCAAATCCTATAAGAGATATCAAAAAATAGTCAAATGATAAATTGTTGCTGATATTATGCTAAACATTTTATCAGTTGACAACTTAATAATATCTTTTTCAGAAAACAAGATATATGGGGGGGGGGGGGCCAAGTGGGGATTCTCATAAAGGGGTTACGGTAACTGGTGACATTTCAAAAACACATTTTCTCAAAAGCAATGGTTTTCAAAAAAGAGGGGTTAATGTCAAACTCCGAAAAAAGCAACATTACCCTAGTAATAAAAGTACTGTGCATCATATGTTTGTCTAGCAGACGTCTAGACATTCTTATGTTTTTGGATGCATTTTCAGGGTCACGAGACTGGACAGATTTTTGACCTTTTGATCTCGGTAAGCCGAGATAAGGATAAGGATCAGAGAACACATTTGAGCTTAATTATCTCAGAGAGGAAACTTAAAAACCTACAAGTTGTGAAAAAATTTTAATACATTGTCCAATTTCAAAATTGTGGGTTTCAATAGAGTTGTGGCACAGAGATCATGCCATATCGGTTAAATGGATTCTTAGATTCTTAGGATTTCCTGGAAAGCCGCCAAAGCCCCCTTTCTCCTTTAAATCTCGAATTTCATCACACCAAGTTTTGAAAACGTTTCGTTTCATCACACCACAACTTTCTGAATCTTCTTCTTTTCGGAGATGGAGTATTACGAAATATTCAAAAAAGAGAGTCGCCAATTTATAATTTCTGTGTTTCCCTGTCCCCTGTCACTTATACAATCTATGCACTCAATCTAATGACCGTGTGAATCAGAGAGGGAAAACAAGGTTTTCGAAAATTTACGAAAATTAGGGAACAGAGAGAAAGGATTACGGTAGAAAAGGGATATCGGAATTGAAGAGCTCAACTAGCTTTAAAATAAAGAATTCATGGGAAATCGGATCAGTGTGAAACGTTAGAAATGAATGCAGATACGGTAAATGCGTCCTAAACTTGACTATACTTGAGCTCATATATCTCGGTTCTTGTTAGAGATATCAAAAAGTTGTCAACTGATAAAATGTTTGTCATAATATCATTAACATTTTGTCTGTTTATTACTTTTTGATATCTTTTACAGGGACCGAGATAAATTGAATCAAAGTTGAAAGTTTTGAGGGGGGGTCAATATAGTTTTTGTATTGTATCTCAAAAACTAGAGTAGCTAGAAATATGATTTTTATACCAAAATTTAGGATTTTTTTTATTTAGCATTTTGCTTTATATGAAATTTTTGTAATTCAATCACCTTTTGGATTTCAACAATTTGAAAATTTTCCACTTTCCTTCAACTTTTCTAAATTCATTTCTTTGACCTCTATACTCTTTTTTTTTCTTTTTTTAAAATTTACTTTACGCAATAAATTAACAAATTAATCACAATTAGGTCACGCCCCGTTCTTTTGTCCGTGTTAAAAAAGTTCCACGTATTGGAAAAATAAGTTTTTTAGGAAATCCCAAAATTCAACTTTATTACTTGTTGGATGATCTCCACTAGCTCTTTTCTACAGGTAAGAAGCTCTCTGCGGCGCTATTCATTAAAGTTTCTTTTTTTTTGATCTTTCGATTGGTGAAATTGCGAAAAAAGTACTAGAAGGCCATAATGGTCGCCATGTTTTGGGGTTCATAGCTAGGTGAATTTCACTGAACGTCCCCCAGTAGCAAAAGATCCGATCAAAGATTGAAAGAAAAAGAAATATCTATAAATAGTGTTAGCATAGACTTCTAGCACTGAGAAAGAACTAATAGAAATCAACCAACGGTAATGGGCCAAGGAGCCTAGTTTGTTGGGTTTTGGAAGGTGACCCCATTGGAAGAAAACCTTGTTTCCCTTTCATGTACTGAGCCTCTACGTGGCGAAAGGGATCAACAGACTTCCTAGTCTGGCTAATCAGTACACTATTGATATACTTGATATTTTTTGTTATTTTGAATTTTCAATGTTTTTTGATTTTCCGAATTTTGTAATTCTTGAAAATTCAGAAATTCGGAATTTTCTGAATTTCGGAATTCCTAGAATTTCAGAATTTTTGAATCTTTAAATTTCCCAAATTTCTCCAATTTTCGATTTCCTCATTTTTTTCAGAATTTTCTTCTGGTTTTTTTTCACTTTAATGTTATCACCAACATTTTCACAGTTCCCACTTTTCTGATATCTCTTAGAAATTGAGATAATTGATCTCGTTACCTGGTGGGCAGCCAATTCTATACCATCACTTTGAGCCAATTTATCTTAGTTTCTACTGATAAAATGTTTATCATAATATCACCAACATTTTATTCGTTTACCACTTTTTGATATCTTTTGTAGTAACCGAGATAATTTAATTCAAAGTGATCACCTCCACCGGTTACGCGGTGGGCGCTACTGTCCGAGCCAATTCTATACTTTGAGCCTATATATGTGGATTTCTGTGAATGATATCAAAAACTTGTCAACTAATAAAACACTTATCATACTATTTCCCACATTTTTTCAGTTTGTATGTTTTCGATACCTCTTATAGGAACCAAAATAATTCAGGGCAAAGTACAAGTATGGTGGTGGCGCAGCCAACGGCGCCGACCGCGCCGACATTAGAGACAAAGTGTTTTGAGCTCGATTATCTGAGTTCCTGCAAGAGATATCAAAAAGTGGTCAACTAATAAAACATTTATCATGATATCACAATAATTTTGATAGTTAACCATTGCTTGATATCTGTAACAAGAATCGAGCTATTTGAGCTCAAAGTGTAGGGATGGTGATGGTGCCGACCAAAAGCTTTGCGTGATTTGAGCTCATTTATCTCAATTACTATAAGTGATATTAAATAGCCGTCAACTGATAAAATGTTTATCATATTTTGACCAACATTTTTGTAGTTTGCACATTTTTTATATCTCTTACAGGAACCGAGATAATATAGCTCAAAGTGCACATAACTAATCAAAGCCTCTTAAAAAAGCTCCTAACCTAATTTCCCCCTAAATGTTTGCTAGTTTTTTAAAGAATAGATTCTAGTCCCTCCCCAAGAAAACTACTTCACTCTCGAAAACTGACCACTTCCTAGTGAGCACCTCATGCCCACACAGAACACACAAACTCAATGATTTCCGATTTTCGATTTTTCCTAAAAAAAAAGAAGAAACATTTGGAACACTATAGACAAAAAGTTGTGTTCGCTTGTGTTGTCTTGTGCGGAAGAATTTTAAGAAAAAAGTGCTAGGAAAAAGGACAAGCGTCCTTTGACAGAGAATGGGTAATTCAAAATTTCCAAAACAAAACATCCTCTAGCCAGGTGTTCAAAATGCCAACAAAGAGGATATATATATTGAAGGATGAAACCCAAAAGAAGAGACAAAAAAAAAGAGAAAATTTTTTACAGTTATGAAGGTCGTAACAGCGGGAGAGATGGAGGAGAAGAGGATAAATGAGAATAGAGAGAATATGCCATTTAAAAAAGAAGAAGAATTGAAACGATTGGAGATTAGCAGAAAAGAAACTTTCAGGAAAAAACAATTGGAGAGGACCCCCTAGTTTTGAGCCAATTTATCTCGGTTCCTGTGAAACATATCAAAACGTTGTCAACTGATAAAATGTTGCTGATATCATGATAAACATTTTGTTAGTTTATTACTTTTTGGTATCGTTCACAGGAATCCAGATATATGGATTTAAAGTTGACAGGCGCTGAAAAACAAGAGCTGATGACTTCTCGTTGGGATCGTCTAATTTTGAAAGCGTATATCTCAAAAACTATATTAGATATCTAAAAACAGTAAACTGCAAGAATATAGCTCATGAAATTTTCAAAATGTTCTTAATTGATACAAATTTGTTAGCAATTTTAGGTTTTGAGATACATGCGCTCAAAGATAATGTAAGTTTTCAAGCCCAGAGTAGTTCAAGTTTGAACGCGAATATCTCAAAATCTAAAAGTGCTATCAAAAAATGTTCAATTAGTAAAATGTATCTCATAAAAGTTTCTATAGTTTTGTAGTTTAAAAATTTTTCAAATCAGTTTTGAGACTTGAGATATGGGTCCTTGAAGGCAGTCGCTTTTAAAAAGCAGCGAAAGGAGGAAGAGCCGACGCTTGCGAAAGCATAACTAACTTCAAACTTGGAATTTCTGTTCCAATCAAAAAGTTTGACATAGAACTTGATAAGATCTACAAGTTCATATTAAATCCAGCCATATTTGAACGGTGAGATTTGAACTAGGCTAGATCTTAAAGGAGCAGAGCCAAAAAAGTTATCCGGGTCATTTTACTAGGTTAAAACTTAGAAAAAACGTTCCAGTTGTTTTAATGAAACTTTTTAAACAAATATACTTTTAACTAAAATATTTTAAACGTTTATTGTATTTCAGGTGTTTAGGGTATGATTACAAGATGGGGGTATTCAAGAGTTCTATTCAAGGTCCTCCATAAAACCTGGCCGCTATCTTTGAGCCAATTTATCTCATTTTCTGAAAGACATATGAAAAAGTGGTTAACTGATAAAATGTTTATTGTAATCTGAAAAACATTTTGTTAGTTTACAACTTTTTGATATCTTTTGGAAGAACCGAGATAATCAAGCTCAAAACATTTCGCTGCTAATGTCGACGCTATCAGCGACGATGGCGGCACCACCTTTGCAGTTGACCCAATTTATCTCAGTTTCTGTGAAAGATATCAAAAAGTAATCAACTGACGAATTGTAGCTCTTGTAAACATTTTGTTAGTTGACCACTTTTTAATATCTATTGAAAAAAGCGCGATAAACTGATGCAAAGTTAAGGAGCGCTTTAAATGCTTGTAGGTTTCAAGAACGGTATACAATATGAGATCTAAAAACTTTGAAAGAAACTTGAAAAGGGGAATCTCTCATGAAACTTAACAACTCTTTTGAGCTCCCACCAACAACACGTATTTTTCGGGAATGGCAAAATTGACGAAGTAGGAAGGAGGAGGAAAGTGCGCAACAGTCTTTTTCTTTTCTCTCTCTCTCTCTCTCTCTCTCTCTCTCTCTCTGTCTTTTCGGAAGGATCGCATTTCAGGTATTTTCCCTCTCTTCCGCGAGGCTCAATATCGACAGTTTTCGCAAACAAAAACACACAAATACAAACGGAAACAAGAAAGAGAGAAAGAGAGAGAGAGAGAGAGAGAGGGGGGGGGGGGGGATTGAATCCATGCGGAAATGCTTCTTTTCGCGCCTTGGGAGGACCAGAACTGGACATTGCGCAATTTTTATCAACATTTTTTGATTGGTGATGAAGATTGACAAATACAAACAACTTTTTGAGCGTTAAGGTTTGTTTCTTCTAGGAGAGAGATCAATTTCCGAAATTGATCTTTTTGGAAGCATTTTGCTGAAAGTGTGTATTACGGTAGTTGTACCTTTCGAAGGTGTATATCTTGCAAACTAGGCTAGCTGACTGAAAACTGCAAACTAGAAAATAGAGCTTATGGTATTTTCTACGTTTTCTTCATTGACACAAACTTGCAAGCATTTTTAGCTTTTGAGATACATGTGTTCAAAGATAATGTAATTTCTCAAGCTCTCTATCGGCAGTAGTTCAAGTTTGAACTCGTATATCTAAAAACCTAAAAACGCTGTCAACAAATGTTCAACTAGTAAAATATAGCTCATTGAATTTCGTAAAGTTTTGTATTAAAAAAAAAATTTCAAACTCAGCTCTGGGACTTGAGATATAGACATTTTAATCGGGAAGCGCCGACGCTTAGGACATCGTAACTAACTTCAAACTTGGCATTTCTCTTACAATCAATAAGTGTAGAACTTGAGAAAATCTACAAAATATAACTAAATTGGGCTGCATTTGAACGCTGAGTTTTGAGCTAGATAAGGTTTTAAAGGCGTATGGCTAGAAGAGCTATCCGAGAAAGGACAAGATTCTAAAGTCCCTTTCTCCAAAACTAATAAAAACACAGATATTTTTCAAATATCGAAATGTTAAGCTTGAAGAATTCTACATTTTAGTAGAGAAATCATATTTGGAGCTACTCTAGTTTTTGAGATATGAACCTCTAAAGTTTCCTCACATGTCAATAGAGTGACCCCGCCCCTGGCTTTCAACTTTGAGCCAATTTATCTCATTTCCTGTAGAAGATATCGAAAGGTTATCAACTAACAAAATGTTAATCATAATATCAGCAATATTTTATCAGGTGACCAATTTTTTTTATCTTTTACAGAAAAACAGATAAATTGGGCTAAACTTTGTACTTTTTTCTGATTTTAAGCATCTCATGAGTCATGACTGTCTAAATTTCCATGATCGCTCCGAATGGTTTTTTTAAATCTCATTTTTTCTCGTTCTCTCCTGCCAATTTTTTTAGCCGAGCCAAAAAACTTTCACTATTTGCCAGGGATCAATGACGACGCGAGAATTGAATACGGAAGCAGACGAGAGTAGGCGGACAGTTTCGGAAAAAACACTTGGCTACAGTAATCCAAAAAACTAAGACATTTAAAAAATTTAGAAAATCAGTAACTTCCAGGGAATTCAGAAATTCAGAAATTCAGAAATTCAGAAATTCGGAACTTCAGAAATTCAGAAATTCAGAAATTCAGAAATTCAGAAATTCAGAAATTCAGAAATTCAGAAATTCAGAAATTCAGAAATTCAGAAATTCAGAAATTCAGAAATTCAGAAATTCAGAAATTCAGAAATTCAGAAATTCAGAAATTCAGAAATTCAGAAATTCAGAAATTCAGAAATTCAGAAATTCAGAAATTCAGAAATTCAGAAATTCAGAAATTCAGAAATTCAGAAATTCAGAAATTCAGAAATTCAGAAATTCAGAAATTCAGAAATTCAGAAATTCAGAAATTCAGAAATTCAGAAATTCAGAAATTCAGAAATTCAGAAATTCAGAAATTCAGAAATTCAGAAATTCAGAAATTCAGAAATTCAGAAATTCAGAAATTTTTAAAATTGGATTCCTGGGAAAACTTTATATAATGGATTTCCAATAAATCGAAATTTCAAAAAAATCAGAATTCAATTTCCAGACAATTCCAGACAACTCCAAAAAACTTCCCCATTTATTTGCTTTAAAAAAATTGTGCCAAAATTTTTTTCAACTGTTTTTTTTTCATTTTTCGCGCGCAGACATGCAAATAAATACGCAGAAAGCCTATGCATACAGACAGGAATTAAGCAATGTTTGAGGCGAAAAAACGTCGAGGTGCGAAAGGAGGGAAAAATCATGATACTACTCGACAATCAAACAAGTTGAGGAAAAGCAAATGTTTTTATTCCGAAAAAAAATCAGTTCGATCAAGTTAAAATTGGCACTGATGGCTCCGCCTCTTTTTGACGGCGAACTCTGGAAAAAAACGAACCGATTCGACCAAACAAACCAGTGGCATCCAGCTCATGCATGCCGGCTTCCTGAAAAGTTAATTATCTAATTAAGTAATTAAGATATCAAGAAACGGTCAATTAAAAAAATGTTGGAAATTTCATGGGTTCTAATTTTGTAGTAAACAATTTTTTGATTGCTTTTTTAGTTTTGGAGATATACGCTGTCAAAGTCGGACGATACCAAAAAGACGCAGACAAAGTATAAGCTCTCGCTGAACGTATATATCTCCAAAACTAAGAATGCTATATAAAAACAGCTGACTGCAAAATTGTAGCTCATAAAATTTCCTGCATTTTGCTAGTTAACAAAATTTTGCTAGCATTTTCCGCTTTTGAGATATACGCGCTCAAAATCAGGCGATCCAAAAAAGAGACGCAGACAAGGCATATGCTCTTGCTGAACGCGTTGATCGCCAAAACTAAAATTGCTATCTAAAAATAGTTAATTGCAAAGTTGTAGCTCATAAAATTTCCTACATTTTGCTAGTTAACAAAAATTTCCTAGCGTTTTTCGTTTTCTAGTTATACGCGTTTAAAGCTGACGAGCTCCGAGATCAAGGAGAGACGTAGAGAAGCCATCCGCTCTTATTTCTCTGCGTTTCCCTTTGACTTCTAGGGGTATATCTCAAAAACTAAAAGTGTTATCAAAAAACTTTTTATTACAGAAATGTAGCTCTACAAATTTTGTGCATGTTTTCAGTTCGCAAACTTTTCTAGCGTTTTTAGTTATTGAGATACACTTGGTTTTCCGAAGCTAAGAATATTTCGAAATCCAAAAACACTAGAAAAAAACTTCCAACTAGTGAAATGTTCCAAAATTTATGCTGAACATTATTCTATCACTCTCTAACCTCCTTAAAAATCTCAATAATCCGTTTCGAACTGATTCTCTGCTCCGTGTCATAAAGTCGGCTTTGTTCAAATATGGCCTTCACAAACTCCGGACACTCCACGTCGATCGTCAAAATGACCGATTTTCCAATTATAGCTTTTCTGAGCTCATTTCCTCGTAGACCACACGATTCGAACGGTGTCTTTCCATCGGTATACACCTCATAGACCAATGCTCCGTAGCTGCAAAATTGAAATTGCGCGCGAAATGTAAATTTTGAATTCCCACACCTGTAAATGTCCGATGCCGTACTGTAGAACCCTTTTTTCAGCGTCTCTGGAGCCATATACTTCACTGGAAGACATCCTCCTTTTCTCTCTTTTATCGCCACACCTTTCACGGATAGTCCAAAGTCCGAGATTTTGAGCTGGAATAAAACAAAATCCAGAATAGCTGGAACAAAGTTGTCAACTAGTGAAATGTAGGAAATTTTATGAGGGTTATTTTTGTAGTTGATAGTTGTTTGAAGCTAGCTTAGTGTTTGAGATATACCCGTTCAAAGATAAAAGATGCCAAGGAGGCGCAGAGTCGCGAGAGCGGCGCTCTTCAACTTTGAACGCGTATATCTCAAAAACCAAAAATGCTAGTAAATTGTTGTCCACTAGAAAAATGTTGGAAATTTTTTGAGCTACATTTTTGCAGGTAAACACTTTTTGATAGCAACTTCAGTTTTCGAGATATACGCGTTCAAAGTTGAAGGAAGACGCGGAGAAACGAGACTTCTCTGCGTCTCTCCTTGATCTCGGCGAGCTTCAATTTTAAAGGCGCATATCTCAAAAACTAAAAGAGCTATCAAAAAACTTTCAACTAACAAAATATAGCTCATAAAATGTTACAAATTTTGGTAGTTTATACAACTTGTCTAGGTTACTTAGCTTTTGAGATATACGCTGTCAAAAGTGAAATAGCTATTTTTTGAGTTTTCCGTTTAGCGCGTATATCACGAAAACTAAAAAAGCTATCAAAAAACTTTTAACTAATAAAATATAGCTTATAAAATTTTCAACATTTTCCTAGTGAACATTTTTCTGTATCTCAATTACTTAATTAGATAATTGCCAATTAAATGTTCACTCACCACTTTCTTCGAGTTCAACAGACAATTCCTTGCCGCAATATCCCTATGAATCACATGTTTTCCGTGCAAATAATCAATACCACATGCCGCATGAAACAAGTACAGTATCTTGTCTTCAGATGACACTTTTGATTCTTTTGATAATAGAACGTCTTCCAGTGAAGAGCCATCACAAAATTCCATCACTATCATAATGGGCTCTTTCATTGTGCAAACACCATAGAATTTTATGACATTTGGCTGAAAAGTCGATTATTGATTATTTTTTCGGGGTCCACTTACATGAGCCAAAGTGAGCATCACATTTGCTTCTTTCAAAAACAAAATCTTCTCATTTGCCGACAAATGATTCTGATGCAATGTCTTGACGGCGACGATGACGGGCGGTGTGAAGACTGATGTCTGTAAATTTAGGAAAGCTAGCTAATGTAGCTAGAAATGCAGGAAATTTTATGAGCTACATGTTTGCAGTTGAAAATTTTTTGGTAACATTTCTAGTTTTCAAGATATAAGCGTTCAAAGTTAGAGGGAGACTCAGAGAAGCGAGCGCGACTGACTTCTCTGCGTCTCTCAAAGTATACCTCAAAAACTGAAAATGCTATCAAAAAACGGTATCTTGCAAAGTTGTAGAACATAAAATTTTATATTAGATAACATTTGAACTTTTTGAAAAAAGCACATTAGTTTTTGAGATAATAGCGTTTTGAAATTTAACTTTAAAGGCGCATATCTCAAAAACCAAAAACACTATCAAAAAACGATCAACTACAAAAACATAGTTTATACAATTTTCAACGTTTTATTAGTTGGTAAAAAATAGCTATCGCTTTTGGTTCTTGAGATAATTTAATTTTCCAAAAAAATGTTTTTTAGGTTTCTGGTTTTTGGTTATTTGCATTTATCTCAAAGTCCAAAAACGCTATCAAAAAACGGTCCACTACAAAAGTATAACCCATAAAATTTCACACATTCTAAACTACATTTTTTCAAAAATCACCTTCAACTTGCCCTTGTGAACCTCTCCAAACTGTCCTTCTCCCAATTTCTTATTCAATGTCACTTGTTCGTTGTTCAGTTGCCATTCGTGACGAGCCAAACCACAAATAAGGGTCATATTGTCATAAAAAGGGATTTGATTCAATTTGTGGTATGCAATAAGCTCACATATCGATTTGAATGCATACTTTTTCGTCCAGTACAGTTTTTTCTGTAAAAATTTGAATTTTTCAAATTTAAGTTTACAAAAGTTTGTAAATCTCAAAAACTAAGATAGCTGGAAAATTTTGGTCAACAAGAAAACTGTAGAAAATTTTATGAGCTACATTTTTGTAGTTAAAAACTTTTTGATAGCTTTTCTAGTTTTCGAGATATGACCGTTTGAAGTTAAAGGGTGCCGAGAGATGCATGTCAACATGGCTTCTGTGCGTCTCTCTCAACTTGGAGCGCGTATATCTCGCTCAAATCTCAAAAGTCAAAAACACTAAAACAATTTTGTCAACTGGAAAAGTGTTGGAAATTTTATGAGCTACATTTTTGTAGTTAAAAAACATTTATAGCAATTTTAGTTTTTGAGACCTATGCGCTAGAAAAGGAAGGAGCGTCAAGAAGACCTCTGCGTCTCTTGGGGTGCCCTTCAACTTTAAAGGCGCATATCTCCAAAACTAAAAAGGCTATCAAAAACTTGTAAACTACAAAAATATAGCTCATAACATCTCCTACATTTTTCTAGTAAACAAAAATTTTCTAGCTTAAAGGAGGCCAGACATGAAAAATTTCACAGTTCTAGTTCTTTGATATATGACACAGTACAGTCAGAAAATATGTATGGTCACCCAGCCATAACTCCAAGTTGCCGTATAAGCGAGAACGCGAACTTCTTCAACGCGGCGGCACACTCCTCGTTTCATAATCGTTTTAGCGGCACTAGACGACAGGTGCCGTGTGGTGTAGAGGTGAACGCGCTTGTCTATCGGTCGCGCATCGCGGGTTCGATTCCGACCTGTCCATTTTCGTTTTTTTTCTGTTTTCATGCTGCGACATCATGGAATGACAGAATATCGGCAAAAAGTCTGGAATTATCGCCTAACATTGAAGAAATCTTGTGTGTACTAAAAAAATAAATGCTCGTCAAGTAGCGCGCATTGGTCGCAATCGCACGACTTTCCGTCAGAATACATGATCTCTCCCCAATAAAACCCCGTAGACTTTCGTGTCTGGCCTCCTTTAATACATTTTTGAGATATATTGTCGGAATAAAAAATGTGAGACTCGGTGTTTGCGTACTTTGATTCCCGCCTCCTCCCACCGACGCTCCGCCCATCGGATTTAATGAGATTTTCATGATCTCCAAGTGGCGTGCCAAAACACCACGCCGCACTTGCAAAGCGATGGGCGGAGCGTCGGTGGGGGGAGGCGGGAATCAAAGTACGCAAACACCGAGTCTCACTTTTTTTATTCCGACAATACGCGTTCAAAAATCAAAGATGCAAAAGCCCTCCGTTTTTACGTCTCTTGGGGTGCCCTTTAACTTTAAAGGCGCATATCTCCAAAACTAAAAGAGCTATCAAAAAACTATAAATTGCAAAAATGTAGCTCATAAAATTTCCAACAATTTTTTAGTTGACAAATTTTAGCTAGCACTTCCCGTTACCAAGATACCGTACCGTTTTAGTTCTCTTCACCAGAACATGCGAATTCTGATAGTGCCATCGAACACTAATCACATATGCCACTCTACGTCCAACCTCAGTCATTCGAATCAAAAAATCACCATGATTGCTCAGCATAGATTCACACTCGGTTCGTCCCATGAACCCATGATAAAATGGTAAATTATCAATGTTGTTCTCGACACGTCCCACTTCATCTGAAGGCACTTCAATCAGTTGGTCCCGTTGTTTTGGCGTTTTCGAGTCTTCTGGCTGATTCTTCGAATCGAATGATGCCGATTTTTTGAGATTATTGATTTTTTGGATTCTCGGGGTTTCTGGAGTTTTCGCTGGTGTTTGAGGTGTTGGTTGGAGGATTAGTTGAATTGGCGTTTTTGCCAAATTATCCAGTGCCACATTTGGATTTTCTGGAAGGATCTAAGAATCCCAAATATTTGAGAATTTCGAAAATTTGACATTTTTGAGAATTCTAAAGTTTAAACTTTTGAAATTTTTCGAGTTTTTGGTCAGTGGAGCGCGGTTTTTCGAAATTCAATGCAAATGCGCTCTGCTGAGAAAAACAGAACTTTCAAAAAGGCAATTCAAAGAAAGTTGTTTTTTTTGGCAATTTTTCTAGCGTTTTTTTTCAATTCAAAATTTGAATTTTTCAGATTCGAGCCGCTTCTCAGTGCTCTTTTTCGCTCTTATTTGCTAAAGATGCAAAGAATATCATTGGAAATCTGGATTTTTGTAAAATTCAACAAAATTCAGAAATTCGACAATAGAGCGCATTTGCAAGCTATTCCCTAGGGAGCGCGTAAAATTAAGAGACGCAGAGAATTGGTAGCAAACTCGCTCCACCGCTAAAATACCCGTTTTCGTCTCTTCCGTACTACTGATCGTCGTCGCAGCCGTTTTTGGCTCCTCTTTCTCCTCAGACTGCGTGGATTCGGGTTGAAGTTCGACGCCAGACATTTTTTAGAAAATTTTCAAAAAGAAATAATACAAAAATTTTGCGAAAAATCAATACTAGCATATCAACTTTTCATTTCACACACACCTGATTTCTTACTCTCTCGCACAGTGTATTATAAAAAAATTAGAAAAATCGGGGGCGGGGAAACCAATAAAACAATGATTTTGGGTGCTGCTGATGATGCTAGAAAATTCGTCGTCTCAAATTGTGCAAAATGAAAGGGGGCGGAGCCCGGGAAAAGTGGGCGGAGTCGAATAAAACAGGAAAGGACACACAATAGATGAGGATCACGTGGGATAAAAAACGGACACACTTACACAATACAAGAATTCAATAAAAATAATGGATTTTTCTCAATTTTCTAGACCCATATTTGACAGGGGAGATGGAGGAAGAAAGTGCTCAACGTGGCAAAAATTCAAGAAAAATTGAGAATATAAATATATGACACAGATTATTAGACGATGACGTCGGACTTCTGAATCCCTGAAGCGACAGCGACGTCGTCAGCCTTTGAAGACGATGATTTGTCTTCTGAAGTCTTGTCGACGTCTTCTGGATTCTCAACGTCTTCTTCGATGGCCAGCTTTTCGGTCAAGTGCGGAGACAGTGGACAGAAATCCGAGAGATCGCCGACGAGATGAGCAATCGATGGGACTGACGAGTGACGGCACATTGGGTATTCCTGGAAAAACGGATTATTGATTTTTTTCAGAAAATCGTAATTTTTCCGAAAAAAGGTTTTTTTTCATATTTTTTTAGAAAATTGCATTTTTTCAGAAAATTCAGTTTTTCAGATTTTTTCGAAAATTTCAGAAAATTTACGATTTTAGAACTTTTTGAAGAAAATTATCATTTCTGCCATTTTTTACGAAATTTTCAGACTTTTCAAAAATTATCATTTTCGAAAAATCCAGTGTTGGGAGTCTAAAAACGGATTTTTCTACTGAAAAAAACCTATTCAAATTCAATTTTATCGATTTTTTAAGAGCCAAAAAAAATCGTTTTTTCAGCCTAATAATTGGAATTTTGGTGACTGAAAATTGAATATTTACAAATAACACTCAAAAATTTGGAGGCAAAAATCTGAAAATCTGAATTTTCAGCTCTAAAAACGGAATTTTCCAATATTTCCGAGGAAAAATCGAAAATTCGGTTTTTAAAATTCTATTTTTGTAACTGAAAAACCCAAGTTTTAACTGAAATTTCTTGATTTTTTTGGTTTTTTTTGGCCTCTAAAAATCTGAAAAAATTGGTTATTTTTTGCTAAAAATTTAATTTTTGGTGAAATTTGGATTTTCTTCGTTTTAGACCCAATAAACTCTCACCGGCGGGAACACGAAACTCTTCTGATCCGAACTCGGCGCTGCGGAATGCGAATTCGACGGCAGACGGCTGTTGTTGATGTCCTCGAAGTCGGACATCTTCTGCTGCTGCTGCTTCCATCCATCTTCTCCATCTTATTTTCGGCATTTTCCGACTTCTGCGGATCCATACTGGATCTTTCGAACACGTCATCGTCAGCAGTGTCGAATTCCTCGCATTTCGGTTTGATTGGCGAGAATTGAGGAGACGCTAGCGGAGCAGCCGACAGAGATCCACTTTCAGCACGAACACGTTTCAACGGAGACCATGGAGCTGGTGTCTCGTCGTGGATTGGGGGCGGAGCTTCGAAAGAAGTGGCGTCCTGAATCATCGGGTTCATACGAAGATTCCCGGTGGAGACAATCATATCGGAGAGCTCCTCATTCGTCAAATCTCGCTTTTGATGATCGTTCGGACCCAGATGCTTTGTTATGAATGAGCAATTGTTGGTGTCGATTGGAGAGAGATGATCGAAGGCGGATTGAGGCGGGATGCGGAGACGACTGTAGGCAACCACCGCTGGATCGTGTGGTGATGGGTTTTTATCGGCGTTTGGAGCTGGAAAATGGGATATTTTAGGAAATCAGAACAATTTTTGACCCGAAAATCTGAAAATTGGTCGAAAATTCGAACAAAAATAGTTCTGAAAAGGTCAGAAATCGGTCCAATATAAGGTGAATTGGCCAGAATTTCGGGTAATTTTTCAATGAATTTTGAACCATTTTCAACCTATTTCGGACCGTTTTTGACGAATTTAGGACAATTTTAAATGAAATTTGGACCATTTGTATGATTTGGAGAAACCGAGAAAACAATACGGCTGTAAAGTAATAAAACCTACTCGAGTTGGGCGCAAACACGACTGGCGACGATGTACGTGGATATTGCTCATAGAACAACGACGGGTTGATCACCGAGAGATTCGGACGTTGTCTCTTCTTTCCCTCCTCTCCTCCAACGAGCATCACATTCTCCTGTTGCTCCTGAGCCGCCTGTCTCGCAATTTGAGCCAAAAACTCGTGTTGAGTCATCGAGAGCGCTTTTGGCGTCGTCGTCGGTGATGGTGGCGGGAGATTCTGCGAATCCGCCAGGCGCAACTCCATCTTCCATGCCGGCGGTGCCTGCTTGTGCTCCTTTGCCGACGATGCGCGTGATCTTGAGCCGGTTGGCGACGTGGCTTGGCTCTTTTCCGTGCTCCTAAAGAAATTAGGTCAATATTCAATCATTTATTGAGTAAAACAGTACTTGGAATTAGTGCCAAACGGATCGATTGGGGTTGTGGCGCGGAGCAGGTTGGCCAGGTTGTCGAATCTGGAAAATATGGAACTTCGATGGACTTTTTGGGAGTTTAGGTCCTATTTTTGGCCATTTTTCATGTTTTTTGGGTGATTTTTAATAGATTTTGGACCATTTTTCATGAATTTTGGACCATTTTTCATGAATTTTGGATTATTTTTCAGAATTTCGGACCGATTTTTGATACATTTTGGCCCATTTTTCGAGAATTTCGGACCAGTTTTCATGAATTCTGTCCATTTTCGACGGATTTTGTATGATTTTTTCATGAATTTTTGACCGTTTTCGATGAACTTTGAACCATTTTTTTGCATTTTTAACCGATTTTCGATACATTTTGACTCTAATTTCGACCAAATTTTGGCCAAAATCGCACCTTTTCGCTCCCTCGGCATGATTCTCAAAATGAAAATCGTGCTGCGTCTGATGGTGATGAGCTGCCGGCTGATGATGATAACTCTGCTGCTGATGGAATCCTCCGTACTGTGGATACGCGTCAAAAAGTGTGCTCATCGCTCCAGAGTACGTCTCGTTCTGGAATCCTCCACGCCCATTCTGGACGTATCCCTGATTCCGACGTCTTCCATTCGCTCCTCCCGCTCCGTTGAATGACGACGTGCTTCCCGACGAATTCCTGAAGCCACGTGGATTCTGCTGATAGCTCGCTGGCTGCTGGCGATATGTATACGTGGAATTCTGATCTGCGGACGGGCGGTAGGGCTTCTGGACTCGACCACCGCCGCCGTTCCCACTGTGAGAACTTTCACGAAGCGGCCGAATGTGAAGTTGACGACCGTGGAGGCTTGTTCCTTGGAAGTTGTTGAGCACTTGGTACAGGCCTTCTACAGTTCTGATAAATGTAATTTTTATGTCTAGAAGTCAAAAAAGGCAACATACTTGAAGACGACAAGTGCATGTCTAACGGTTCCACTTCTCACGATGACCTTCTCGACATGGGCGACACGATTGAACACCTCGAAGAGCTCAATATCGGAGACCGTCGACTGCAGGCCCGAGACGTAGGCAGTACGGTCGCAACGCTCTGTTTGACCATTCATACCTGAAAATTCTAAGCTTGTAAAGGGGAAAATCGAGAAAATCGAGAACAAAAAAGCGAGAAATCGAGAAAAAATGACGAAAATCGGAGAATTTTCTAATAATTTTGCGCACGGAAAACGCACTAAACATGCCCGATTTACTCAAAAACGCATTTAAAAGTCTGAAAAATAGTTGAAAAATCCGGAAAATCGAGAAAAAATGATGAAAATCCAAGATCAACCAAAATGCCGATTTTTCACAAGAAAAATGCGGTGAAAACGCACAAATTGACTGAATATTTGTTTAAAAAACCTGCAAATCATCAAAAAATCGAGAAAATCCGGAGAAAAGCGCCCGAAAATGCTCTCAATGGACAAAAAATGATGACAAATCACCGAAACAATTCGACTTCAATTCTCCTCGCGCAAAAAATCTACAGTACCTCTTACTTTCGTGGTGAAACGCCAATGAAAATTTTGCAACATGCGCCTTTGAATTAAACTTTGAGAGATATATTTTCGAAGTTTTTAAAGCGATTTCAGAGCGAATTCAGCTGAAAAAAAGCGAAAAATATTCATTCTTCTAATTATTAATTTTTTAATTGTTAAACTTTTTCCCAATGTGTCTCTTATACTACTCAGGAGAAATACATCTTTTCCTCCAACATAAGTCATCAGAGCCATTTTTTTCAAATTATTTGGTTTGCTATCATATGATTACCGAAGTCTTCCACTGATGGTTTATGAAATCTATTCACGAATAGAAATCAATGTTAGGCCAACAACAACAAAAAACGGTCTTGATAAATGACACAACAAAGCAAATGGGGGTCTAAAACTTGATTTAAAAAAAAAGAAAATTACGTTGGTTAACAAAACTAAAAACTACAGAAAATGGATCAATTAATCAATAGTAGTATGAATTGTCGTCTGAAGCTTGTTGAAATGGAGAGAAGCTTTTTTTTATGTCTGTAAAAAGTCATGAATAAAAGAGGTTTCTTTAAAAAATTGTATACCTTTTCCGAGATGAACGACGTCTTTCCGTTGAATTTGAAGGCATGGAATCGTCCATATCGTCCGATGGATGACCACGATGAGATTTTTGACGAGGAGCAATTTCCAAACGGAGAGATGGGGAAGAATCGTATGAATCAGTTTTTGCATTAGACTCGTTGCGATCATACAGATCATAACTATAACTGCACTTGTGGTTTCCATTAGCATCCGAGCCATCGTTGGAATCAATTTCATCGGTGACATCAATTCTGTTAATATTATTAATGTCATCGTGAGATCCCATTTCATCATTGGAAGCCGTCTCGTCTTCGGAACCTTTGTTACCACCCATATCATTTTCCGAGTCCATATCATCTCTGGAATCGATATCATCTTCAGAATCCTCCTCTTCGAAATTGGTTGAATTGCCGAAAATCGTCTGCAAACGTTTTTTTCCACTAAGTGACACAAATTAATTATATACCTGCTTGGTTGTCACATCAATTCCTTTCTGGTGAGCAATTACTTTGGCGTGAGCTACTGTTCTATACAGCAGAATTTTAGATCTCAACTCATCAATTTCATTCTCATTTAAGCGTCTCTTCTTCACGTTTTGTGCGTCGGGCAGCTCAAATGAATCATCAATGACAACGTAATGGGAATAGACGTGATCTTTATACGAGAAAACCTAAAATTTCAATGATTCAGTGAATAATAGCAGCCTAGAAATATCAAATATCTGAAACGTGTTTGGATAGGTCTTTGCATTCATATCGAATACATCGAGCAGTTGAAACGTTTGTTATGAAAATATCCATAGAAACGAAGCGCGGTTCGTGCCGAATATTCTCAGACTTGACAGTTTTTGACCAGCACATCGTATCATACGGAATATTTTGATTAGTTGATTTTGGAACTCGGATTGTGAGCATTCCATCTATTTTCAACTTGTTCAGTTCTAGATAACCGATATTATTCGCATCCACATATCTGAAAGTAGCCAGGTCATTTATCTTTACTGACGAGATTTGTCCCTCACTTTTTTCCATTGATAACATACATCCATTCTGAAAAAGCTCTTTGAGTCAATTTTGGGATTTTGGAACTTTTAACGAAAATCACTTAACTGTGGCTGTTTGCTTCAATGAACTAGAAAATTATTAAAAAGAGAAATTGTTCAATTACCACGAAAATTGGGGGAAAAATGGAAAGTTGAGAAAAATTAGAAAAGTGATTAAAAAACGGTGAATTGGGAATAACGAGCAAAAATTGAATAAAACAGTAAAACAAGAGGAAAATTAGAAGAAAGAGAAAAATCTATTCAGACAAATTGGCAGTCATCAGAGTTTCGACACGATTTCAGCCTGAATTTTATTTTGAAATCCTGAGAATTGTGATATTTTTCAAGATTCACAGTCCCCACTGTTTGCAAAAAGTTAGGGATTTTTCAAACTTCAAGAAAATTTCGAAGCTCTCTCTCTCAGCAGATTTACAACAATTTCGATAAAATCCTGCTTTATACAGATCGGAAAATCTAACTTAATCTGCACAGACCTGCTATGTCCCCACTGATTCGTCCCTGCTGAGTACCCCCTGACCCTGATGTGCTTTCGATGTATCTCTTTTGATGTACCTCCGTAATAGAGTCCAGTACGCCATCCGAAAAATTTCAGAAAAAAAAGAAAATTCCATCTTCAGGAGAAATAAAGCCACTGAACGTACCAACATTTCAGAAAATACTTTGAGGTTGAAATCGGACTGAAGCAACATACTGAAAAAATAATTTTCATTTCCAAACTATTTCCCTTTATTTATGCCTGCTTTGATGGCTCTGATGACTTATGTTGGAGGAAAAGATGTATTTCTCCTGAGTAGTATAAGAGACACATTGGGAAAAAGTAGTATAAGAGACAGTGGTAGTGAAAGAGACTCGGTAGTATAAGAGAAAAGTAGTATAAGAGATGGTTGTATAAGAGAATTTGCCTTCAATTTGAACAATTCCTCCATTTAGCAAATGATAAAAATTTAGCAAGTGAGACTATTTTAGCAAATGAGCGAGTTTAGCTAATGAGCATATTTAACAAGTGAGCATTTAGCAAAAAAACATCAAGCTAATGAGTATTTGCCCTTTAATTTGCATCACTTCTTCGGATTTCCGCACCAGAAATCAATTTTATTAACCCGAAAAAAAAAACATAATCAATTATGGGGTTATCCATGTAGCGAAACATGATACATTTTTGAAATTTTTGGAAATCCCGAATTTTCGGATTCTGTAAATCCCAAAAATCGATTTTTTTTTTGGAATTTCCGAATTTTTGAAATTTCTGAAAAATCGCGAAATTCGTAAATTTTTTGAAAATTTCAAATTTATCGAAAATCTCAAAATCAGGAATCCGCAATTTCCAAAAAAAAATCCCACAAAAAAATCTGGAAAATAACCAAATATTGAAAAGGTATTTCATAATCGCATGAAATTCAAAGGCACACAAGACGATGCTATGCGCCTT